GCCCACACAACCTGCATGCATCTGGGCGAACGGACCTGAATCGCCTAAATTTTTTCCAACTTGTAAAAAATAACATAAGGAACAATAGTGAGCGCTTCGCCATGACCGTTCCTTGTTTTTTGATGTTTAGGGCCAAAAAATTAAAATTCTGCTCGATTCCTTGATTTTCTTGTGCTATGCCCCACGCCACGTGCATGCATGTGGGAGACCGAACCCAATTCACCTAAACATTTGTTAGTCCATCGAAAATGACCGAAGGAACAATAGTCATCGTTTCACCATGACCGTTCCTCGTCTTTAGGCATTTTAGGGCCAAAAAACTTGAATTTTGCTCAATTTTTAGATTTTCGTGTGCTATAGCTCATGCCACTAGCATGCATTCGAGTGACCGGACCTGAATCACCTAAAAAAAATTGCCGGCCCATCAAAAATGACCTAGGGACCAATAGTCATCGCTTCGTCATGACTGTTCCTCGTTTTTAGCATTTTAGGGCCAAAAACTTGAATTTTACCTAATTCCCACATTTTTGTGTGATATTGCCCACGCCACATGCATGCATCTAGGCAACCGGACCCGAATCACCTAAAATATTATCAACCCATCAAAACGATCTAAGGAACAGTGGTCATCGCTTCACCAAGACCATTCCTCATTGTTTTGCATTTTGGGGTCAAAAACTTGAATTCTGCCCGATTCTGAGATTTTCGTGCATGCATCCAGGCGATCAGACCGAAATTGCCTAAAATTTTGTTGGCCCGTCAAAAACGACCTAAGGAACAATAGTCATCACTTTGCCATAACTGTTTCTCACTTTTTTGTGTTTTACAGCAAAACAACTGGAATTCCGCCTGATTTTCAAATTCTGTGTGCTATAGCCCATGTTACCTGCATGCATCCGGGTGATCGGACCTGAATTGCCTAAAATTTTGTCCCTACTCAAAAATAACCTATGGGACAATAGTCATAACTTTTCCATGACCGTTCCTCTTTTTTGGCGTTTTAGAGCAAACAAACTGCAATTTCGCCTGATTTTCAAATTTTCGTATGCTATTGCTCACGCTACCTGCCTGCATCCGAGGTAATCGCACCCGAATCGCCTTAATTTTTGCCTGCCCATAAGAAACTGCCTAAGAAATAATATTCATCGCTTCGCCATGACCGTTCCTTAATTTTTGGCAATTTAGGGCCAAAAAATAATAATACCGCCTCATTCAAAAGATTTTTGTGTGCTATAGCCCACGCCACCTGCATGCATCTGGGCAATGGGACCAGAATTGCCTAAAAATATTCCGGCTAATAAAAAATGACGTATGAAATAATAATCATGATTTTGTAATGACTGTTCCTATTTTTTGGTATTTTAGGGCCAAAAACTGGAATTTTGCCCGATTCCAAGATTTTCGTGTCGTATATAGCCCACGCCACCTGCATGCATTCGGGCGACCGGATCCGAATCGCCTAAAAGTTTGTCAGCCCATCAAAAATGACCAAAGGAACAATAGTCATCGCTTCGCCATACCCGTTCCTCATTTTTTGGAATTTTAGGGACAAAAAACTAGAATTTCCCCTGTTTGTCAGAATTTCGAGGCGACCTGACTCGAATTGCCTAAATATTTTCAAAAATGACCTATAGAACAATATTCATCGCTTCTCCATGAACGTTCCTCGTTTTTTGGTGTTTTAGGGCCAAACACTGGAATTCCGTCACATTTCTAAAAACATTTGTGCGACTGGACCCGAATCACCTAAAATTTTGCCTCCCCATCAAAAACGACCTAAGGAAAAACAATCATCTCTTTGTCATGATCGTTCCTCATTTTTTTGGTGATTTAGGGCCAAAAAACTGGAATTGCACCTGATTCCCAAATTTTTGTGTGCTATAGTCCGCGCCACCTGCATTCATCCGGAGACCGGACGTGAATCACCTTAAATTTTGTCGGTCTATCAAAAACAACCTAAGTAACATTAGTCATCACTTCGCCATCTCCGTTCCTTGTTTTTTTTTTTTGGCATTTTTCGGCAAAAAACTAGAATTTTACCTAGTTCCCAAGTTTTCATATTCTATAACCCACGTCATCTGCATGTATCGGGCCACCAAACTCGAATCGCCTTAAATTTTGTTGGCCTATCAAAAATGACCTACGGAATAATAGTCATCGCTTCGTCATGACTGTTCCTCATTTTTTGGATTTTAGGGCTATAACATTGGAATTCCGTCCGATTTCTAGATTTTCGTGTGCTATCCCAAGCCACATGCATGCTTCCGGGCGACCAGACTCAAATCACCTAAAATTTTGTCGACTCTTCAAAAACAACCTAAGGAGCTATAATCATCGTTTCGCCATGACCGTTCCTCATCTTTTAGTGTTTTAGGGTCAAAAAACTGAAATTATGTTTCATACCTTGATTTTTGTATAATATAGCTCATGCCACTTGCATGCATCCAGGCGACCGGACCCAAATCACCTAAAAATTTATCGGCCCATAAAACGAACTACGAAACTATAGTCATCGCTTCGCCATGACCATTCCTCTTTTTTGGTATTTTTCAGCCAAAAAACTGGAATTCCTCCCGATTCCCAAATTTTCGTATGGTATAACCCACACCACGTGCATTCATCCGGCGACCAGAATCGCTTAAAATTTTGTTAGCCGATCAATCTATGGAACAATTGTCATCTCTTCTCCATGAACATTCCTCGGTTTTTGGTGTTTTATAACCAAATACTAGAATTGCGCCCGATTTTCAGATTTTGGTGTGCTATTGCCAACGCCACCTACATGCTTCGGGCGACCGGACCCGAATCGAAAATTTTTTTACCGACCATCAAAGCGACATATGTAATAATAGTCATCGCTTCGCCAAGATCATTCCTCATATTTTGGCATTTTAGGGCCAAAAAACTCGAATTGCGCCTCATTCCCAAATTTTTATGTGATATAGCCCATGCCACCTGCATACATCCAGACGACCATACCCGAATCGCCTAAAAATTTAACGACCTATAAAAAATGACCTAAGGAACATTAATCATCGCTTTGCCATGATCGTTTCTCATGTTTTGGTATTTTAGGGTCAAAGAATTGGAATTCCGCCCGAATTCTAGATTTTCGTGTTCTATAGACTATGCCACCTGCATGCATCCAAGCGAGGACCCGAAGCGACTGAAATTTTACCAGCACGTAAAAAATGATCTAAGGAATAATTTTCATCGCTTCGCCATGACTGTTCCTCATTTTTTGTCCTTTTAGAACCAAAAACCGGAATTGTACACGCCATATGCATGCATCCGGGCGACCGGACTCGAATCGCCTAAAATTTTGTCATCTCATAAAATATGACCTAAGGAACATTATTTATCGCTTCGCCATGTTCATTCATCATTTTTTGGCATTTTAGGGCCAAAAACTAGAATTCCGCTCGATTCCCACATTATCGTGTGCTATAGCCCACGCCACCTGCATGCATCTGGGCGACCGGACCTGAATCACCTAAAATATTTTGTCGGCCCATAAAAATGATATAAGGAACAATAATCATCGCTTTGTCATGACCGTTCCTAGTCGTTTAGCGTTTTAGGGTCCAAAAATTAAAATTTCGCCCGATTTCTAAATTTTCGTGTGCTATAACCCACTTTACCTGCATGTATCCGAGCGACCGGACCGCATCACCTAAATTTGTCGGTCCATCAAAAATGACCTAAGCAACAATAATCATTGCTTCGCTATGACCGTTCCTAATTTTTGGCGTTTTAGGACAAAAAAACTAGAATTCCGCGTGATTTCTAATTTTTCTTGTGCTATAGCCTACACCACCTCCATGCGTCCGGGCGATCGGACCCGAATCGCCTAAAATTCTGCTAGCCCAACAAAAACGACTTAAGGAACAATAGTCATCACTTCACCATGACTGTTCCTCGTCTTTAAGCGTTTTGGGGCCAAAAAACTTGAATTCTGCCCCATTTCTATATTTTCGTGTGCTATAGCCCATGTCACTTGCATGCATCCGGGCGACCGGACCTGTATCGCCTAAAAAGAATTGTCGACCCATCAAAAAAGATCTAAGGAACAATAGTCATCGCTTCGCCACGACTGTTCCTCGTTTTTTTAGCATTTTAGGGCCAAAAAACTTGAATTTCACCTAATTCTCATATTTTCGTATGATATTGCCCACACTACGTGCATGCATCGAGGCAACCGGGACCGAATCACCTAAAATATTATCATCCCATCAAAACGATCTAAGGAACAGTAGTCATCGCTTTGCCAAGACTGTTCCTCGTTTTTTGTGTTTTAGGGTCAAAACTTGAATTTTGCTCGATTTTAAGATTTTCGTGCATGTATTCGGGCGACCAGACCCGAATTACCTAAAATTTTGTTGGCCCATCAAAAACAACCTAAGGAACAATAGTCATCACTTCTCCATAACCGTTTCTCGCTTTTTGGTATTTTAGGGCCAAAAAATTAAAATTCCGCCTGATTTTCAAATTCCGTGTGCTATAGCCCATGTTACGTGCATGCATCCGGGCGATTGGACCCGAATCGCCTAAAAAATTTCCCCCACTCAAAAATAACCTATGGAACAATAGTTATCGTTTTTCCATGACCGTTCTTCGTTTTTTGGCTTTTTGGGCCACATTCTTACTAAAAATAATTTCTTAAAAAATACTTTTAAAAAATAAATGAATTTTAGAATTACACTAAATAGACTACTACTCCTTCCGTTCCAATTTATGTAAACTTGTTTGAGTGGGCACAGAGTTTAAGAAAAAATAAAGACTTCTAGAATTTGCGGTCCTAAACAATTCAAAAAGGGCCCCAACGTATTTGTGTGGTTATAAAAGCTCCTCATTAAGGGTAGAATTATAAGTTTAAGTAAAATTATTTCCAAATTTAAAAAGGATTATTGTTTTTGGAACGGACCAAAAAGAAAATAGTTTCAAAGCTAAACGGAATTAATATTAATTTTGAAATAGGCGCCCAATAAAACCATGAGAAGAGACAAATTGGGTTGCGTTCCAAATTGTGGGTTTCGTTCAAATCTACTGTTAAATGGAGCTGGACCTTCGGCCATATTTCTCTCTTTTACTATAATTTCCTCAGAAAAAAATTGTGGGTTTCGTTCAAATCTACTGTTAGATGGAATTGGAACTTCGACCCAGAAAGAGACAAATTGGATCTTTCTCTGGCTTCTCAGAAGCTGAGGTACTTTCCATTTCTTTTCTGGGTTCCATTTTTTTTAAAGGATTATCTTTTCCAAATTTGTTCTTGACGGGTAGTTGAAGAATTGTATTAAGATGATATATGCATTAAGTTGATATTTTTCTTGTTTGATCTCTATTTAGAAATTTGTTTATCTTTTTCATGTTTTGTCTTTTAGGGTCGTTGAAAAATTGTACTCCCTCTCTTTTAATTTATATAACACGCTTTACTTATTAATAAGTTCCAAAAAGAATGATACTACCTCTGTTCCAGTTCATGTGAATCTTTTCACTTTTCGAGTGTCAATTTGACTAATTTTTTAAGCTAAATTGGATTAAATTAACTCAATATTTTAAAGTTAAAATCTAGATATTAAAAAATTATACAAAAAGTATGCCGACCAGCAGGTACCTACAAGCTTGTCAGGTACACGTTCCGGTCACTCTTTCGAAAAAGGTTCACATAAACCGGAACGGATGTAGTATGTTTTTGGGGCTATAAATCAGCTAACTAAAGGTAAAATGTGAAGTTTAATATTAAATAGTTTCTAAATATAGAAAGGTGTCATTCTTTATAGTACAAGCTAAAAAGGAAAGAGTGTCATATAATTTGAGACAAATGAAGTATATATTTGTAGTATGAAATATGCATTATCACTCTACCTATGTGCAAAAAATAGCCGAGGTTGCGGTAGGTTGAGATTTAGAGTAAAAGTAGTCATACTATAATAAATGACTAGTGAATAGATACAGAGGATTTATATAGGTGACCCCAACTTATTTGGAATTGAGGTGTAGTTGATTGATAGATATAGAGGAATTTTCTGCACTTGACACTCATTGGATTAAATCATGTTGAATCGTGTGAACGGCATTGTATTAAGATTTTAGCTGTTAAAGAGGAGATATTTTTATTTATTTAAGTTTGTGACACATCTCTTACATGAGGGATGAATCTTTATTTCCCCTTTTCCTTTGAGCCAAACATGGGGATATAGTTTGTTAATATGTGGCCGTGAAACTTTAACGCAAGAACTTTGTCTGTTTTGACTCCATATTGAATTATATGAATGACTTAATTTAAAAGTTTAAATAGTTAAGGAAGGTCGGCGACAATGTTATGAAGGATGAAACCAATTAGACGGTAGTCTCTTGCAAAAGGGTAGCAAGTCTCAGCTGTTGGAATTGAGCAAACCAATGGGTTTGATTTAGTTTACGTTCTACATATCAAAGTTAGTTCAATTTGTTAATAGGTTGCAGTCCCTCTTCTTCCATTTAATATCACAAAAGATAAAAGAAAATAGTGGAGTATTTAAATGAGCTAGAAATATTGGTTGCTAATAGAATGTAGAAGCTATGGTCTATTAAAGTTATGTCCTTTCTGTATAATTTTGTAGAAATGTTAGTCTTGAATATTTATATCAAAAGTCGTTTGTCGTGTTTCACTGAGATTGCAAACTGAGGCTGCATACTGCAAGCACTTCAGTTTTGCCTTGCAGTTTTTGTACGTATTACATTTTGCTGCTTTTGAGCGACAGGAACCTAATACCATTGGATGCATTTCTAGTTCAGTTATTTTCTTCTGACTGAAAATCTTTTCATCGTCTTCCCAAATCCTTCATTCGAGCAGATTGAGAAAATGGAGAACTTAATTAACGAATCAAGTGAACAAGTTTGTGACCCAGAATTCTGCAAGAAAGTGGCAAAGACGTTCATGTGAGTTTTCACTTTGAACCAAGTAATATTTCTTTTTGCATACTCACAATCCGTACATGTATATTCTTTAATACATACTTCTCGGCATGTTTTTAGGCGCTCTCAAGGTCGTGCAGGAAAACCGATTGTTAAATGGACTGAGGTTCATACTTCAATAGCCTTTCTCTAGGATCTGTTCTTGTGGCTTGAAGGTTCGTATGGCACTAATTATTTCACTTGATTTTAGGTCCAAACTTGGTTTCAGAACAAGTTGCAATGCTGTCCTTTGAAGAATAATTCAGCTGAGGCCGACAAAAAACTGCCTGACGTCACAGAAAGATGTGCTTTAGATAAAGCAAATGAAAGCTCTCATACGGCAGAAGGTCTGTTTCAACATATGTTTTCTATGTTGCCAGAAATTTGACATGATGGTTATATGAGACTTATGTGGCCAAGCACGGCAGGTCTTTTCAACATATGTTATCTATGTCGCCAGAAATTTGACATGGTGGTTATATGAGCCTTATGTGGCTAAGTACAATGTTATCTACAAGCACTATTTTCTCTGGAGAAATTAAGTGCACATTAGTGCCTCTTGATTCCTTCATTGAATATTCACTATGTCGAAATTTCACATTTTTGTCTGTAAATTTGTTATGGAGATAAGATACTCTTAATATTCCCAACAAGTTTTGGCTTGTTTATGTTTTCTCAGCTCCAGCTGAGTAATTAGTAATATTAGTAATTTGAAATTATCTTTCACAAGTCCTCCCCTTTCTTCTGTATTGTTTTCCAGTGTTTATCTTCTATTATTTTCTTACCGTTGTCTAGTTTCCTTTATCAACTTCAACTGAAACCTTAACATCCAGTTAAAGCTACATTCAACTGACATAGAATAAGATCGACAAACCATGTTGAGTATCTGGTACTTCAGTTGGTGGAAAGTAAGTAATTGTTGAGATACCGAAATTGCATAGGCCTTTTCTTTTTCCTTTTTTTTTTCTTCTAATATTGATAGTTGAAATTCTTTTGTTCTGAATAGTTGGTCCTCCTTTCTCTTTTAACATTAGAGTTGCATTTCCTCTGGCATCAGAAATGTACTTTATATATTCATGACGAACATTTTGCAGTATATTCATGACGAACATTTTGCAGGCCAAAAAGTTCTAACGCAATCAGAATTAGAATTTGAGGCGAGGTCTTCAAGAGATGGGGCATGGTAAGAGTACAATTAGCAGGCAGGAAGGTTTTGGTCTTTTACAGTCAGAAATACTTACTGGGTACACATCGGTTTCAGTATATCATTTTGGATACGTAATTGAGTTTTATCAGCACTGTGTTAGTACATTTTCAGCTCCTTTAACATTTGAGATGCATATACTTGTGATGACTCTTGTTTGCATATTGTCTTTGTTTGTGACGTCCATATCTCAAAAGGTTCCATAAAATGAAGTTAACTGATTGAATATGACATCCGTGTCGACTAAGAAATGTCTTATTTCTCTATATTTTCTTTTCAGAGAGTTTTATCTGTTTTTCTCTTTTGTTGCTTTCCCTTTTGATGGGTGGTCAATGGCTGCTGGTTGGAGAATGTCTTTATGTTTATTTCTTTTGAAATTTGTGCTATATTAGTCCCCATCCATTTTAAACACACGGAACCAGAAAACTCTCAGTGAGTTCAAGTGTTCAAATAAGAGGCAATGAAAGTCTACTTCTCAAATCATCTTAGTTTTAGTTTACATAAAACTTTCAAAGCTTGTTTCTTAAGGGGAGTTGTTTTCCAGTTTTGCCAAAAACATTTACCTTAAATACACATTCCTCGTGGGGTTGATGAAGTAAAAAACATCAGTACTTGTTGATGACATGATTAATAGAGTGTTTTCTTCTGGATTTTACAGGTATGATGTTGATTCGTTTATCTCTCACCGATTTCTTAACTCAGGAGAACCTGTAAGCAGTTCCTATTTCTTCTAGAACTAACACCATATAACCGAATCCAGGCATTGTGGAATATGCTAAACCTATCTTAATGAATGTTTAGCAAGACTCTAAAGTAGCTCCTACTTATATTTCTATAACGACAGAAATCAAATCCGTTATTTATGGTTGCAATAACCAATTCACTGTTTTTGCAGGAGGTTCTTGTGAGATTTGTGAGCCTTGGATCGGAGGAGGATGAATGGGTAAACATAAGAAAGGCAGTTCGCGAGCGTTCTGTTACTCTTGAACATTCAGAGTGTAACAAAGTGAAGGTTGGAGATCTTGTTTTGTGCTTCCAGGTACCCTTTCCATTGGAATTTCTTTTCCCAATATTACTGCAAGGAAAACATAGAAATATTTGAATTTTCAATTCGTGATTACCAAGAAAAAAGGATTTTCTTAGAGTGCTAGGCTGGTGTGCACAATGGAAGAAAAAGATTCATATAAGTGATACTTATTAGTTAGGAATAGGTTTTAAATTTGTTAGAGAACCATATATATATATATATATATATATATATATATGTATATATATATATATATACATACATATATATACACACGCACACTTATTTTCCCTACAATTATTTATTGTGGCATGATAATGATATGACTTGAGCTTAAAGAAAGAAGTGAGAATTCATATCGCCCACCCAACTTTGTTTAGGATTGGGGCATAGTAGTTGTTTTTGTTGCTTGGGTGGTGTGCTAAACTGCCAATAGAAAAGATTGAAAAATCATCACAAATTAGGAACATTGTGTCATTTTAAAGTGTATTTCGAATGCCCAAATGCCCCACTAACACAAAAATGATTTAGAAAGATTCTTCTTTCTCCATGGTCATCAGTCAGGGTATCCATAGCTTTACTTCTTTTTCGGCCAAATCCTTATTTCATTTTGAAGGTAGTGCAGATAACATCTTATTTTGTGTTCTGTTCATCTTCATTTAACTAGGAGGGAAAGAACCAATCAAAATATCTTGAAGCTCATGTTGTAGAGATTCAAAAGAGATTGCATGACATAAGGGGCTGCAGATGTCTCTTTGTGATTCGATATGGTCGTGATGACACCGAGGTAGGTATTGGTAATAACTAATAAGCATACACTATGGAGATGGACTAAATGTTTACCAGATTTTACTATTTTTTGCTCAGGAAACAGTTCGTTTGAGGCGATTGTGTGTTCGACCAAGCATATTAGGGCGTCCTTGACGTAGTTTGAACTTTGAATATAGTACATGCCGCCAGCATATGCTACTCAATCATAGAATCGATTCCAGTCAAGGTAAAAAAAGTCTGATGATCCCGCCACCCCTGCTCCCGGATTTTGATCCTACTGCTCTATCTAAGAGATGCAAAAGAATTTGTGAATTCCATCTGGTGAATTGCTGCCTTAGGGTGTTTGGCTATTAAATGGGGAGAACATCTTGTTTAGCTTAATATGACCATCTATTGTAAATAATTAGCTCTAAAACGACATGCAAGAAGCAAAATTTTGATGATACTTTAATGTCATTATTTACTGTTTTAGTGGTTGAAACAATTGTGTTAAAATTTGTCTTTAGATTATGGTTCAATTTTCGCTATAGTATAGTTTAAAATTACTGCTACCTTGTAATGCCTGAGATGCCAAATAACCTCACAAAAGAGTAATCACATCCCAAGAACTATTCTTTAACTCTTAGTTCCACTTTAGTGATTGAGTTATTATTTGGAAAGGTAAATGTGCTTTTCTTTGATTATAATTTTTTAAATAAATTTTAAATATTGTGAGGTTGTTTCCGAAAGACCGCTCAAGAAGACGAAAATAAATAATAGATCATTGATAGCAACAAAAGTCAAAGACAGAAAATAGATGGAAAAGCAACAACAATAACCAGTAATAATGCCATAGAATTATGAGAAAAAACGAAAATAGTGTGGAAACTATATAAACCACTAACATCCCAAGGCGAAACACTATCAGTCTAGCTTCGTCCCCGATACAAAGTAGAAAAACGCTCGACTCCCTCATAACCTACGACCCTAATGCTCGACCTGCAGCTATAGTATAGTTGAAAATTACTGCTACATCATCCATATAATGTCTGAGATGTCAAATATCCTCACAAAAGAGTAAATCACATCCCAAGAACTACTCTTTAACTTTCTTTGTTCCACTTTACGTGATTGAGTTATTATTTGGAGAGGTGAATGAGCTTTTCTTTGATTATAATTTTTTAAATATTTTTAATTGTTAAATATTGTGACTTATAGCACTTTTTACATTAGTTTTTAAATTTGTAAAATTTATTTCAAAAGTTTTTGAGGATTTTATGTCCGAATACAGACATAAAATAGAAAACCAATGTATGATACGCACCAATTACGTTTTGCCACATTTTTTTTTTCTTAATATTATTTTTATTTTCTCGTTGTTCACTATTTATTTTCTTTTTATCTTTTGTTTTCGTTTTCTTTCGTTCTTCTTCTCCTGCATCCTCCGTCGTAGCCACTACCATCACTGTCACAAGTGCCACGTGGATTCAAAATTTCTTTAGGAATTTTTGTTTTCCCCTAAATCTAATTACCTTTATCTTTTCTTATCCATAACTAGTAAACCACGACAACTATAAAACCAAGATAACACTTACCACCTTTCTCAAGACATGAAAATAATCAGGAATTCCTTCAAATTCTATCTCTCAGCTTTAGTCCTTCTACAAATTCTAACTTTTTCCAAAGCAACGGTTTAATTACTATGTATCGGTTACTAGCCGATTGGACAATTCAGTATCTATTCAATGCACAACTCAAGGTCACAATATTAGCAAATACAACACGCCTCGTGGCGTTGTTCTTGATTTTTCTATTGACACCAATGCTCCTAATCCTAATGCTTCATGTAAAATGAGTTCTGGAAATTTACATGGAAATTTTGTGCTATTTGATCCCTCAAAAGACCCTGGGAGATGTTCAGATAATGAAACATGCCAATGGCTATTAAATCCAGATGGAATTTATATATTTACTATTGACCATATAACTTTAGTGTATAAGGGGTCGTAAAATTGTTATTTGTATGTGTAAGGGGAATATTGGCAAGATTTTATATGTCTTCCTAATTATGATTGAAATATATTCTACCCTTTAAAGTACTTTTTTTTTTTTCAATCGTTTCGGTATTCAAAATTCATTAACTAAACTTATTTTGATAGGGAATGCTTTGTCATTTTAGTGGGGCTTATGGGACTTTTAAGTACTTATCCCTCGTTATTTCCTCCAAATAAAAAGGGGACTTTTTCGTATATATACGAGAGACCTCCGAAGAATTAATAGATAAAAATTCAGGAACATTGTTAATTTTTGTATAGATCGGTGGAATTGATCTTATATGTTGTATAAGTGCATTTTAATTGCGTTAGATGTATTTCCAGCTGCTTTAATATTAACTTTAAGATGCAGAGGTGGATCTAGAGGTTTAGTTACGAGGTTACGTGAATCAAGTAACTTTTGCTCAAACACTTTATATATATATATATATATATAAGGAATTTATTAAATATTTAACTATGGTCCAATTATTAATGTAGTATTAATTTGAGATTAATAAAGGAATCGATAAACTTCAAATTTTAAATCTGCCTCAGTTAAAATGTGTATATATACTTGTGATGACTCTTGCTTGCATATTGTCATTGTCAAGTCCATATGTTGTTCCATAAAATTAGGGATGACAGTGGTGCGGGACGGGTGTGGACTAAACCCGCAAAATTTTACCTTCATAGCAAATTTTCTGTTTTCAACCCGCCCTGCCTAGCACCCGCAAAACCTGCCCCGCCCCGCCCCGTGCCGCATAAGTTTTATTTTTCTTTTTTCTTTCATGTTCTTATTTAACTGAGACAAATAAGTTAAACAATTGGTTATTCTGTAAACCAGAGATGTTATTAGTTACATTACTAATATACTAATAAAATTGAAGCGTGGTTGCAAAACATATTCTGAGCCTCATATTCGTTATTCTGCACTTACTAATATTCTGTTGTTGCAAAATATAGAGTAATACTAGTATAAAAGAAAAACAAATCAACGACTTTGTTATGCCAAGAATTATCAATTCAATTTTTACAATCTGGAAAAAAAATTATCACACACTGAATTAGTATAATTGGGTCTTGCAAAAAATGAGTTGATAATCCCACCAAATAACACAAAAAATAGAAACAAAGAAAACAGTTTATTAGAAATAGAAAAACAAAATTGGGTGAAGCATTTTAATATTAATAAGAGCAAAAAAGGGAGCAGATTGCTTTAATGGTTTCAACCAACAAATCGCACCAAATTTTTTACAAAAAGGCAGTCAACCCGCCCCGTCCCGCACCACATAAGAGCACCAGCCTCGCCCCATTGCTATCCCTACATAAAATGAAGTTAACTGGTTGAATATAACATCCATATCGATTAAAAATACCTTAATTTTCTATCTTTTCTTTTCAGAGTGTTTTATCTTTCTTTTTTTCTTTGCTTTCCCTTTTGATGGATAGTCAATGACTGCTGGTTGGAGAATGTTTATTTGTTTTGAAATTAGAGCTATATTATACCCCTTATATGGAGCACCAAAAAATTCTCTTATTCTGTGCAGTAACTAGTAAGTACTTCGATGTGTTGATTAATGGTCAGAGATAGCTTAAAATCAATAGTTCATTACCAAACAAAGCAATTTATCCATAGTAGCTCCATATTAAAGTGAAAATTCATGTTACTCAATCATAAATAAGTGATAAATGTGCATATGAATGACACGTCTTGTATTTATTAGTTTGGTTTTTTCCGGCATTAGTTTTTCACAGGGTGCTTATTTATTTTTATCTGTTTGAGGCGACTGTCCTTGACATAGTTTGAACTATAAATATAGTATATGCCCCCAGCATATGTTACTCAATCATAAAATCGATTTCGATCAAGATGAAAATAGTCAGATGATCCTCCTGCCTGTTTCTGGATCTTGATCTGCTACTATATCTGAAATATGCAAAAGATTTTGTGTATAGCTACTATTAAAATGGGAGTACATCTTGTTTAGCTTTTCCTGGCCATCTTTGTGAATGATAAGCATGGTAAAATCAAAATTCTTATACCTACTACTATATCATTGTCGACGATGTTCTAGTGGTTAAGCAATTTTGTCTCAACTTTCGTTAAACTGTAGTCGTTGATTTCACCATGTTAGTTGATCACGCCCAACTATGCCTCTTAAGAGGTGTAGCGGCCGTTGCAAATATAATTCGATTTACAAGTTCGGAATCGAATCCCACAGGGAAATAACGTGTTAATTACAACTAATAGTTTTGCACGAATTCAAGTAATTTGAGTGTTTACTAACTAAGATCAAAGTAATTAAAAATGCAATAATTTATAACTAACAAGGCAAATATTGNTGTATTCTCTCGAATTACGCTACCTGGCACTAATTTACCGCTCACGACGATCGCACCAAGGCTTCGTTATCTCTAATCCCGCCTTTAGACCCTTCGTATCGATCTCTCAACTACATTAGGAGTGGTGTTGTTCAACAACTACCTAAATGTGCACTCTCTCTCTCTCGAGCAATTTACACACTAAATAGGCACAGTTAATTGAGAGCTCTTCAATTAGCAACAATGAAAATATAGTTGAACAAGTAGAGAAAAATTAAAGACAAATCAATATTAAACGCAGTAAAGAATCATCCTCCAATAGGTTCCACCAAACCTTAGATTAAAGAGTTTAGCTACTCATAAATACAATAACAATCAACATAATATTTAAAGACATGAAACTACAAAGTAAAGAGATAAAGGAAGGAAAAACTCGTTTGATTCTTGCTCCACAGTGCTTGGCAGCCTATTTCTTCTCCAAAATCATGTCCAACCCTAGAATAACTCATTTGGGGAGTATTTATATCAATCCCTCGGTCCAATTTCGGGTTTGGATCTTTTAACCTGCGATTTTAATTTACCATGCTATAGACCTCGCGAAGCCTGGTCTATAGCGCGGTCGACCTAGCTATAGACCTCGCGAAGCCTGGTCTATAGCGCGATCGACCTAACTATAGACCCCGTGAAGCCTGGTATATAGAGCGGTCGACCTGGCTATAGACCTCGCAAAGCCTGGTCTATAGCACGGTCAACCTGGCTATAGACCTGCAAAGCCTGGTCTGTAGCACGGTTTGGATACTTGATACTTTTGTGCTCTTTTCTTGTATTTTTGTCCTCTTTTTGTGCAATTTTCATTTGATGATTCCTTCTGATGTTCCTACACATAAAACAACATAATTTAGCACAAATATAACACAATAACTCATTAGACCAACAAAATATAGGGCGAGTAATGTGCTAAAAGTAAAGCATTTTGGCATCACATCACCACCCCACACTTAAACGTTGCTCGTTCTCGAGTCAACCACCAATTCCTAGAGCACTTTTATTTTCTTTTAGCACATCTGAAGCACGCCATACCTACTATGACTATGGTTGATAGCAACAATTAAACTTTAGCATATGTCTTCGACACACATTTCCT